TCAGCGACAAAGTCATGTATAGTGGGGTCCATGTTTGCGATTTCTGCATACACGGTTAGCGATATTAAACAGCTCAATACACCATCGTATACAGATGTGTGAGCCATCCTAAGCACATAAATGGAACATTTGAAACATGCTCCTCGGCGAATCTTAGCAGGATTTACTGCCTAAAATCGAGAGTTTTTGTGCTGATACTCTAGTATTATCAAATTTTCTCAGACTCAGTTTGAGTTATGGAAAATATGAAAACGCCATTCGATAGAGCGCGTCAAGTTGTACTCGGAACACGAGTGGAACACTTGGAACATGCTCCTGAGCGAATCTTGGCGGGTTTTAGTAGATGGATGCAAAATGACCTACGGTGAAAATCTAGTATTTTCTGATTTTCTTGGATTTGGTTTGAGCTATCGGGAATCGGAATATACCATTCGATAGAGCTCATCGAGTTGTACTCGGAACACCAGTGGAATGTTTGGAACATGTTTCTGGGCGAATCTTGGCGGGTTTTACTGCATAAAATCCAGGATTTTTATGGTGATACACTAGTATTTTTAAATGTTCTCAGACTTAGTTTGAATTATGGAAAATCTGAACACGCCATTCGATAGAGCGCGTCAAGTTGTACTCGGAACACGAATGAAACACTTGGAACATGCTCCTGAGCGAATCTTGGCGGGTTTTAGTGGATGGATGCAAAATCACCTATGGTGAAAATCTAGTATTTTCTGATTTTCGTGGACGGTGTTTTAGCTATCGGGAATCGGAATACACCATTCGATAGAGCTCATCGAGTTGTACTTGGAACACACCTTGGGACAGTTGGAACATGTTCCTGGGCGAATCTTGGCGGGATTTACTCAAATCTGGTGCTAACTTCACCTACGTCTATTTCAATCGTCTTGCAAGCATATTCTTGCGAGATGATTAAAAAAGATAGATAAAATTTTATGTAGAATCAAGTTTGTCTTTCAATTGCTACTTATAAATTTTTCTATGAGATTATGTATTTTTTCGTAACTCAAATTGAGATAGAGATTATATATAAATGTATTTATCTAATTTATATACAATCACGTATCTCAAATATAAGTTTGCCTCCATAATTAACAGGTGAAACAAGTTGTACATGTTATATATTGAAATAAATAAAAAAAAAGAAACAACCTTTATCTTCAATAGTTGTTCTTAAATATATGTATACTATCATCACTATATAAATTATTTTTTCTCAAAGAAGATACTCAACATCTGTATGTGTGATTTAATTAAAATTTGTTTCTTTCATCTTTTTCGTGAATTTTCTTTTCAAAAGAAGATATTAATAAAGATCGTGTGCAAGACTACGCTGTTATAACTCAAAGAAAAAAAAAGGAAAAGTCATCGAAAAATGTTATTTCGGAATTGGTCATCAACATCCGACATCAAATTTAAGACTTCATTCGATAACTAATTGGGTAGCTTACTGAATTGAAAATAAAAAATACATTTTTGTAGGTGATTTCAACTTAATATAGGCAGTTCAATATGTCAATAAACTTTGGTGTTTTTTATTGAAAAATTCCTCAGCAGAATGACAAATTTATATGCTTGAAGTTCGCATGAAAATGAAAATGCGTAGTGCTTAATTGATGATATTGAAATTCTTCAAGTTAACGGATTACGAATTAAATTCATAGCGAGAGAAATTTTCTTATTTTGAGGAGTAAATGAACATAAAACTAAACTGTAGAAATAAGTGTTCAATACTAAATACATATAACTTTTTTTTCGTTCTGTCCGTTTATTCTGTTAATATATAGAAAGGGATCAAAGGAAAAAAATATATTCACAAATGATGGAAGAAATGACAGAAAAGAAAGGAAGGGCGGCTACTTTCAATGTAAACTAGTTTTTTATTATTTTCTCAAAAACTAAGAGTTGTTCAAGAAAGGGGGTAGTATATTTGGAATCTTTATAAAATTCTGAATCGAATGATGTATACTGTTTTCTTGTAAACCACCCCCAAGAAAATCGACTCGATTTGCTATGATATCGATGCAAATAGAACAGTTTTTCACAATTAGTTGGTTTTATTACCGGAATTTGTATTTCCTAATTAAAATAGGCAATTGTACCTTTGCAGGTACTGAATTGTTAATTTCATTGGAAAAATCAGTGCTGCATGCTTGAAAATTCGAATTATTGGAACTGAGGACTTTAAACTAGATAGTTGTGAAAAATTGCTTTATTTACATCAATATTGTATCATAGATAATATGTGTTTTGATTTCTTCTTTTTATTACCGTGAGTGGCAACTAAAAATTATCTGTGAAACGCTTTATATATATTTTTCTCACTTGTCAACAGATAACGTTGCTTTTGTGAAGTGAATAATAATACTTAATAGAAGTATTTGTTAATATTATTCGTATGAAAATTAAATTTGCATAAAGTTCTACTACTAACCAAAATATCAGCTGATTTAATTGAACCGAGACAGAGTTATTCAATTTTTTTATCGTAAAGCAACTCATGGACCACCCTGTATATTAAAATATCGTATCAACTGTTGATAGAAATTTTTATGAACTTTCATTTTTTTCTATTTTTTCCAGTTCAGATTATTCTATTGGCCCATTAGATGTTATGCAAGTTCCAACTGTACATTCAAAAAAAAGGCGAATATTATAAGTAATTATGAATTATGTATATGACTCATCTTGAAAAAAAGATTTTTGATAGTATGAGGAAGAATTTCTGTTGGATTTTTTCGCCAGTACTTAGCACCGTTAACATCGCAATCTCAATTGGGACTGGAACCCGCAAAACCGTTCTAAAAAAAACGAATCATTTTTTCTTCTTCACATAAATTTAGTTGGATTTGGAATACGCTAAAAATATTCAAAAGAGTTTTTAGAAATAAATTTATCTATAGGAATAAAGTCTTAGAAAACCTATGAATTTATCGATTTAAGAAAGAGTTTGCATAATCCAGTCAGATTACAGTATAAATAAAATTCATTTTAATGTTTTCTCAAGATTTGTTTTTGTTACTATCACATCGACGAGTCTGCTTGAAAGTCCAAGGAAAATAATTCTACATCATATGCCATCGATTATAATATTTAGATAAGATATTTAGATTTTAATTTCATTAGTATTTACAACAAATAAATACACTTTAATATCATAATTAGAGAAGAAAAATGTAGCGAAATGCTCCTTTGATTTAAAAAATCACTTGTCGGACATCGCTGCTCATCTATAAATAGTATAAACGACTAGTAAAAATCTTTTGTTTTTAATTTCATTAATCATTCGATGTTTCCACGTATACACTAAGTTAAAATGTGTCGCAAGTGTCGTGTTTTGCGACACATTGTACGGCACATTAAAGTGCAACACAAGGAGCTCACTGCGACACATTTTCTCCCGCAGGACCACGACACATTTCGTACGACACATGCGACACATTTTCTATTGGTCCTTTTGGAAAATCATATTTCGATGTTTTTTTTTCAATTTAATTCCATTTAATTATTCCTATTCTGAAAACTCAAGCTGGTCAGATCCTGGGATCTGTCCAATCTCGAGTTGATCTGATTTGTATCAGACCGCTTTAGAGTAGTCCTCTCACGATCATAGATCGAGATTGGCATTTTCTCGATAAAAAGAAATAATCGAGAAATAATCTAGAAAATAAAAATAATTTGAAATTTCTTTTTCTATGTTAAACCACGTTGTTTATATATGACCATGTGTGCATAATAAAACGGTGGACGAATAGTCAGCAGACAGAACGCGACAAATTCGTATACGACACATTCTAAGCACGACACATTTTTCTGCTGGAGTGTGCGACACAATAATTCACGACATATAAACACGACACATTTTTAATTTTCATATATGAAAAATGAACAAAATATACCGAAAATACTTAGTAAATAGTAAAAACAATTACACATATACTAGCTATTAGATTTTTGACCCATGACTCAACATCCCCATGTTCTCATTATTAGAAAATTTATGGTGAAAATTTATCCTCATTCAAGAGAAATAAGCAAAATATTCATTTCAATAAGAATCTTTTTACTTTTAGATTTGAACGATGTTTCATATGAGAAGATTATAAAAAAAGAAACGTTATTGAAAAGTCATTTGCAATATATCCATAGTATTATTTTACTAGTGCTATGAGAAATTGGAATTAAGTAGAAAATAATTCTTGTTTCTCTAACATTGCGTTCGATTTATTGAAACCTAATTAGTAAATTTAAATATTTTCTAGGCCGATTATGACAAATTCAACGAATGTTGATCATGAATGAGCAATAAGAATTGGTGAATTACATATGAATACAAAAAGAAAATGTACAACTGAACTTGAAAATCAAATGGTTGCTATTCGTGCCGAAGAAAAACGGAAGGATGAAGAAGGCAAAACCAGCATGCATTAAGATCAACTTATTCAACCGTTTCTTTATCCTTTAGCATTAGCTGCACTTGAAGCAGCAGCAACAGCAGCAGCAACAGCAGCAGCAACAGCAGCAGCAACAGCAGCAGTAGCAGCAGCAGCAGCAGAAGCAACAGCAGCAGCAACAGCAACAGCAACAGCAACAGCAACAGCAGCAACAGCAGAAACAACAGCAGCAGCAACAGCAGTAACAACAGCGCAACAGCAAGTAGAAAAGAAAAGGAATGAAGTGAAAAGAAAATATGGTTCTGAATAATAAAAAAGACATTTATCTCATGTTTAGAAAAAAGCATTTCGTATCATTTAATAGTCGAAAATGGAATTCTCAATTGTTTTCTGGATTTCTCTTTAAAAAAGATTTACTTAAATAGAAAAAAATCTCGAAAACTCGAAAACATCATATTTTGCACAGAATTATTTGTTCTATCATATGTCTTAATCAAAAAACATTTTTATTTTCGGATTCTGAATGCTTAATATATACGTAGGTGAAGTTAGCGTCCGGTTCGAGTAATTCTGCCGCCGATTCGCTCAGGAACATGTTCCAAGTGCTCCATTTGTGTTCCAAGTACAACTCGATGAGCTCTATCAAATGGTATATGTAGTTTTTACGTAGCTCAAACTATGTGTTCGCAAACATCAAAATACAGGTCCAAAAGTATGAGAAATGACCCATCAGCATAGTAATTCCACCACCGATTCGTCTAGGAACTTGTTACGTGTGTTCCAATTGGGTTCCAAGTACAACTCAATGAGCTCTATCGAATGGTGCATTCAGATTTTCCAAAGCTTAAACTGAGTTTCCAGAAATCCCTGAATACTGGTCCCAAATGGCCCATCAGCATAGTAATTCTATCGCCGATTCGTTCAGGAACATGTTCCAAGTGTTCCAATTGAGTTCCAAGTACAATTTGTTGAGCTCTATCCAATAGTATAATCGGATTTTCCATAGCTCAAAGTATGTTTCCAAAAATCGTGAAAGAGGGGTCCCAAATACTAAGCCAGAAAGTAATTC